CAGGCTGCCAAATAAAAGAGGGAGCAGATCCAGGACCAAAGTGTAGAATGGTGAAGAAATCCTGAGCTCCCTCTTGTCTCTCCTCGCCCCCCATCCTCTGCTCTGAGTTCTGGAAACATTCTGGTAGAGGTTGGGGTGCATCCTCCAGGGATGCCAAATCCTGGCCACCAACTTTGTACCTGTCCTCTAGGTGAGCTCTCTTCGGGAAACCTTCAGTGGGCAGCCTGACAGACTAGGCATTCCTGCCTCCATGTTCCATCAAACCATGAGCCTCTCCCTTTCATAGAATCATCATACAGGACAATGGTTGGGTTCCTGTGTTTCTCCCCAACTGGTCCCCTGATGCCAGGGGCTGTATCCTCAATGCCCAACATCGTTTTGGGTACAGAGTAGGAACTCACTAAATGTTTATCGAGTTGAATTTCTATCAGATAAAAGGTTGACTGAATGATCTCTTTCAAAAATAAAATGCTAAGGGACTCTGCATACAACCAATTGAAGAGTTGAGACCACCAGTAAATTACAATCAGGTTGCTCTCCTCCAGGCAGAATTTTTTCTTTTTTCTTTTCTCCTCTTTTCTCTTCTTTCTTTTCTTTTCTTTCCTTTCCTTTTTTTAAAATATATTTTTATTCATTTCAGAGAGAGGAAGGGAGAGGGAGAGAGAGATTGAAACATTAATGATGAGAGAGAATCATTGATTGGCTGCCTCCTGCACGCCCCCTACTGGGGATCAAGCCCACAACCCGGGCATGTGCCCTTGATTGGAATCGAACCTGGGACCCTTCAGTCAGCAGGCAGACACTCTATCCATTGAGCCGAACCTGATAGGACCAGAATTTTCTTTCTTGAAGGCCATTTTCTCCAGCCTCAGCCTGGTCCCAACTTGTCCTAACGTGGATCCTATGGATTTAGAGTTGGCTATTCGATTCCTCACTCAGGTTAATTGTACAGATTAATTTTTAGGTGCACTGAGCAAACTTTGTAATAACAGAGTCAGAGATTTAAAAGAAAGACCATAACTGTGACCCATTTTCATAAAGTCCCTCATGTAGAGTATCTTTCTTGGTGTCATTTCTAGTCCTCTCCAACGCAGGTGAGCCCACCCAGGGGATGCTCAAGATTATCCATTGATAACAGCGAGAAAAGTTCTCTGCCTATACATATGCACATATATGTTATATTATAGGCATGTATATTATTAGATCAAACCAATAAAAATGATCAGCCATTCCCTGAACTTTCACTGGTAGAGGGAGTCTGTCCAACCACCTGGCAGATGATGGGACAGGGGTGGGCTCCTCAGGGACGGGAGGGGGGGGGAGCGCCCCACTGCAGAGGGGCTGACTGTGGCTCATTTGTTCAGTTGCTTGCATCACGTTTCAAATTATTGTTCTTTTCATGTGTCCAGTTAAATGGATTTATCTACTATCTAGTTTTAACTAAACTAACCTTGGCAAAAAGACACATGGCTCAACAAATTCCTCAAAGACAGCAGCTTGCAGATAACACTAATCATGAAAGCACAAGAGAACTTTGAATTCTTTGTCGGCCACATGATGGGGTAAAGAAACACTGACAATCTAATCAGATCTGTCAAGAAACCAGGCCAAACACATAACTGGAAATGATCCAGAAGAGGATTTGAAGTATGGAACCACAACATATAATGAAGAAGCAGAACTTTGCCCTAAGGGCACATTGAGTTTTGAGATTAGTAGTCGGTGATGTAAGACATGTGTAATTTACACACTATTATATATGCATATATAGGGGGACACAAGTTCAAAATTACTTTATTGAGAGGCCGTGTAAACCAAAGAGTTTGGAGACCACTGGGCTGTTCTTGCTTCTAAAAATATTTTTTATTTCTCTCTGATCATCCTGATTAATTGTAGAACACTTGGCAATGCACGGAAGCATCAAAAACAAGAAAATACTATCCATATTCCTACCACCACAAAATAAGCATTACTTGTATTCGGTGAAGCATCTCTTTTGTCATAACCATTTCATATAAAATGTTTTTCATAGAGGGAGGCTGACCCCACAGGGGAAGGCTTTATAGACCATCTATAGGAGCCAAAAAAGGTATGGCAGGAATGCAGCTGCAGTCCTGGTTTTTGAACATTTGCTGAATCCATTTGGGAAGAGTTTCACGCTTATTGGCGGAACGCTATGGCCTTGTCCCAGGTTACACTGTGGGAGCCATCTACACCTTTCTTAGTGGCAGGAGGAGAGCGGTGCAGCAATTCCTATACTCCCTTCATTCTTAAATTAATTAGCCCATTTTGGCCATCAGTGACATGGTTAAGGAGCCTGGCTTAGATCTCCAGATGTTGGGGAGCAGACCTGCTCTGGTTTTCTTGGGTAATCCCCAGGAATTCAGAGTATGTCCATAGATTCCCTCCTTTATGGGGGGAGCACAGCTTTGGCCCTGCAGTGACAGCCCTGCCTGCCTTATGTCAGCGCCGACACGTCTCATTACAGAAACCACCCTCGGTTTCACATTCTGAAACTTCTCTGGACATTTGCTCTTCATCCCCACAGTGAAACTCTAGCTGGAATTTGAAATAATCTCATCACCCTTAAAAATCACTTCTGACAATCTGATTTGAAGCAGAGCTTTTCTACAGGTTTGGCAGGATTTCCGTTTTTATCTAGGATGAAATGCAGCATTTCCCCCAAGGTTTGGGCCACATGCCAAACGGGGAACAAGACCCCTTCACTGCCTAATCCAGAGGGTACAGAGCCTCATCACCATTTTTCTCTCTCTCGTTTTATTCGGCCCTCATACTATGGCTCCATTTTTCCTCTACAGCATCCACAACCAGCTGTCTAAGTTGTCCGGGATTCAGGGTGGGAGGGGGGTTTTAGTACAGACGGAGGCTGAAGAATGCAAATCCATAATTTAAATGTCAAGCTCCCCTATTGCAACATTTAAATAAGATCCATTTGATTTACAGCTAGCTGTTTTTTTAAAGAATTTTTTTTTTTTTTTTTTTTTTTTTTTTTTTTTTTTTTTTTGCACAGATTTTGGGTTCTTTTTCAGGAGTGAAAATGGATTTTCCAAGAATCAACTGCAGGCAAACACATCCTTGTGATGCCTCCAGCTGATGTCAGGTGTGAAGTCCCTGGCAAAGCGAAGAAAACAATGCATTCCGGAAATAAATCAGCAACCCTGACCTCAAAACCATAGCCATCTAATGAAATAACATGTAAACACCCAACTCTCAGATTGTTTCCTTTCCCTTGAGCATTTTTTTGATGTGGACCTGGAACGACAGGAGAGTAAATAAAGAACACAACAGTAAAATCGCCACACCTGCTAACGTGGTCCTCCCTGGATGTGTTCAGATGTGTTCATTCTCTACAGGTGAAACGAAACTGAGGAGGGACCATGGGAGCACCTGGGGCCTACATCACTGCAAGCGAATACAACCTCTGTTTATTTCTGTGAGTTTCACTCCCAATTACCAAAGACTCAGAACTCACACCCCTCTATCCCGTCTTTATTGCCTTTGTCACCCTGCCTCTATGAAGTCCACCCTAATCACTCTTTGCTGTATGCTAATATCTCTAATTTCCCACTGGCCTTTAAACTGTTCTTTCAATATATGTTTAATACTACTTGACACCTGAAATCCTTTTGAGTGTAGATTCAAACTAAACTAAAAATACAAAGTATAAATAAGTTCAACTAAATTTATAGAGTAAGTTGAAAGGATAGTTTAAATCCACATTTAAAGACTTAAATCTTTCCCTTTGTCCCACATGGCCCAGAAGGAACCTTTAGAGCAAGAAACGACAGTGGCTTCTGGGGAGGCAGGAGTATTAGGTTTATGAGAAGAGAAAGATGGTAAGAGAGGAAGCAATAGGAAGGACTGCTTGTCTTTCACAGTTTCTATTCTAAATATAAACATTTTTGGGGTCAGGATTGAAAAAAAGGGCAGCTGTTGCCAAAACGGTTTTCTCGTCCTCTGAGGGATGGGATATTGGAGCTTTCAACATTAAAAAAAGACGTTTTCCTTCCAAACCCATTCCAAGGAAATTTCCACAGTTATTGTTGGAAAGATCAGTCCCAGACACCCAGAAGCCCCAACTGGGAAAAGATGGTAGAAATGCAAAACAAAGTTTTATAAAGGTGGATAGAGAATTGAATTTTCCTTTTGCCTCACCAGCCGGGAACAAAAAGAAGATAATGCTTTTAATCTAACCCTCCGCCTCCCTGAGAAGGACAAAGCACCTGAGTGTCTAATACTCTCCACACCCCAGAAACCCTACTGCCCTGGCTTTAGTTACTGACTCACAGCAAACAAACAAACAAACAAACAAACAAACAAACAAACGGTGGATATTGTTTGGGCTGACATTATTAACAAGTATCACGAAGGGGACATGACTATATGAGAACACCCAATTCTGACCTTTTGAGAATGAACTGAGGAGGCTGTGCGATGACCACCAAATGGCCTGAGCACAGACTTACCTTCTTAATAAGCAGAAAGCAAACTGAGGACACACAGATCTTCCTTCCCGTGGCTCCTGGTTTCCTGGATGCTGTGTGATGTCAGCTAATCTCTGACCTACAGTCATCAACTGAGAAGATCTAATTTTAACACCTACCTACTCATGACGATAAGAATTCCAGGACTCTACCTCAAGCCCCACACAGTCAACTCCATGGTCTTTCAGGAACCAAAGTACCAAGCGTCCAAAGCACAGCAACCAAAACCTCCTCAATGAAGCTATCCCCAGACAGTAAAACAGAGGAACTCTACTGGGCAGCGGAGGTGAGAGGGACGGAGGACTATAACAAGGCAGAATGAGAACTTGCTGATTTCTATAAATGTATCCTTGATGCAAAAGCCTTCCATTCTCCTTAAGCTACGCGTCCTTCCTCAATCCTGGGGCAGCACCCTTGGCCAGGCAGCAGGCCATTTGCAGGCCTCCCAGCGCTCTCCACGGCTCCCTCCCACCGCTCCCCCGCCGCCGGCCCTACCTCGATGGTGTACTGCTCAAAGATGCGCAGCTGCAGGAAGATGTCCAGCTTGATCTTCCGCTCATGGAAGAGCTCTTCCATCTGCACCTGTGCGTCGTCCAGCTGCTGCAGGACCGACTCGATGTGGCTGATGGAGCTGCTGTGGGGGGTCTTGTTGTTGGACACGGCGGAGTCCCTGTGGCAGAGGGGGAGAGGAGGGAGGGGCCTTGCATGTTAGAAGTGATAGAGGAGCAGGGGGCCTTCCTCTTCTGAACAAGGTGGATGGGAATCAGCTGAGTTACTCAAGTGACAGCCATTTATCAAACTCCTGCTGTGAGCCAGGCACCATCTGCTGAGTAGGTGAACCAAAGATACATGCATCCTCTTTGGGGTTCACAGCACAGCAGCTTGTCTTGGAGAGCATAAAATATTGGGGAAATGGAATGATTCCATGCATATGTGTACTCTAATATGTATAGTTTTATACACACACACATACACATGCATAAGAGTAGACACATTAAACACAATGCATAAGAGTTGACACATTAAAGACAAAGAATAAAAATAAAACTTCCTAATTTTACTTCCCAGTGTTGTTGTTAAAGGAAGACCATGGCTGCCAGTATTATTCACCCACTTCATAATGCCATGCCAGGTTACAGGCTGCTGTCCTCACACAGGTTCCAAGCTGTAGTTAGACAGCACGGGACCTGCAGGCTGCAAGCCTGGAGTAAGTCCCCACTCTGACACACATGGGCTAGTAGCTTTGGGAAATGACTTCCCCGAACCCCAGTTGCCTCCTGTAAAGTGGACTTAATAATCCCTGCCCTGCTCACTTCACAGCTTGCTGTTAAATAAGACAGTGTATGTGAACGTGCTCTGTGACCAGGTACGTGCTGTATGGACTACTATTACTCCTGGAAGGACACAAGTGAAATATCAGGTGCTGGTTGGGGCACCGGCTCAACTGGGGAGTGTAGAGGGAAGGGCTAAAGAGGCTGGGACAGCAACAAGGTTTCAAAGAGGGTGGATTCTGATTTGGGCGTGGAATCCAGCCAGGAAGATGGGAGGAGCACACTTTCTGAGTCTATACAGAAGTATTGGGGTAAGGGGGTTACAGGTTGTAGAGGGGAACCACAAGATAAACACACTGTCTTGCTCAAAGAAGTGAGGTGGTAGAGACCTCCAAAGAGATCACTATGACATAAGGAGAACTGGAGGTTAAGAAGGTAACATCCCATAGGGCCTTGGGTAAGCTAGAGCCCTAACACTTGAAATAAATGGGCACATTCAATATCTTGCAACATCTTGCTTTCTTATAAAGTTTAAGAAGTCAGAGGACAAGGGGGAAAGCATTCATTCTGAATCCTCTCATCAGCAAGCTTTCTGAAAACCAGGCCTTTGTGTCTGTGTATGTCTCAGAAGCAGTGGTATCTGAGCTCAGACTACCTGCTTCTGAAGGGAGCTTAAGACCAGTTTGTCAAGAGCTTCCCCTACTATCATTCAGATGGCTCCCAATTCTACCTCCTAGCCCTAGCCTATTTGGGCATGAAACCCACCATTGCGTGGACACCCCCAGTCACAAGTCACATAGCGATGTACTCACTCTATGCATTATGCACTTGTTGAGAGCTTTGCTATTGGGAGGATGTGGCTGTTCTTTCTGACAATCCCTCTCAGTCTCTCTACATCACACACCTTCTAGAAGGAAGAGCATAATTTCTGACCATTCTGCACAGCACCAACATCAGTGTCACACTCACTGGGAATCACAGAGAGGATGGGAAGCCACGTTAGGGACTTCAGTGATGAGTGCCAGACCTACAAAAAATGTGTGCCCGGTGTGTGTGAGGCAGCCAGCTAAGGCCCATGAGGCACCATTTACCCCTTTTTCTGTTTGCCTGGTCTTTCTGTCAGGGAGAAGAGCCCAGGCTAGAGTCAGGCTGGGGGGGGCGGGGGGGGGCGGGGAATACATGGTCACCAGTGGGTCTCAGTCACATGCCTATGATTCTCTCTGAAATCCTTGGTTAAACTTGTGGAACTGGCATCGGCCACGTCATTGCCTCCACCATCTCCGTGTAGCCTTCCACCCTTAGCTAGGGTGCAAGTTGGCAGCTGTTAAGAGCAAGTGGCATCTCCACAAACCCAGCCCCACAGAGACTGAAATCAGCCAAGCTTGTGAAAAGTATTGGGAGAGAAAACACAAAACCATCACAAAATCTCAGAGCTGACAGATCTGGAGTGAGCCCCTTAATCACAAGGACGACGCAGCTGAGACCCAGAGAGGTGAAGTGCCTGCCCCGCTATTTGTAATTTTCTTCAGAAAAAAAGAACAGTGGAGTTTCCTAGGTAAGCAGACAAAACTGTCATGTGTTATGTATTCATGAAGATGAATCTAGGGATCAAGGGACAGAGACTGTCTTGTTAGTATGCAACAGCAAGATTCAGAACATCTCGTGTGCATATTTAGAGTAGAAATAATTAATTTCCAACAGAAAAACGTGCCAGGGACGTTGAAAGGCAAGTTCTCATTGTTTATTTAATTAGACAACTGATATGGGGGAAAGCCCTCTCACTTGAAGTCATCCCCTCAGGTCCTGGCTTGGCTGGGACTTGTTGATGAGATTATTTCTGTCTGGAGCTGGCAGAGGTCTCGGCACTCAGTGATGTTGGGATTGGAACAAGTCCCTGCGGGCAGGTCTCATTAGCACCATCAAGCCCCATTCAGACAGCACCTGGGCACAGCGCTGGCTGCGGAGGGCCTGCTCCAGGCTTCATGACACTTTATCTGAGTCAGGGCCCTTGACAGGAGCAGGAAACTAGATGCTAACACCAACAGAAAGGAGGCAATGGTGCGAATGATTCTAAATAAATATGAGGTTTGGGACAAGATTTTTCTTATTAGTTATGCTAGTTTGTGTTGACACAGGAAGGTTTTTGTTATCTGGGCATTAAGGAATGGTGGGAAGGTCCTAAGTGGGTAACGAAGAACAGAGCAGGACACCACCACACACTCCACGTGGGCCAACGCCAACCATTTTGGGTCACATTTTGCTGACTCGGGCACTGGAGTTCAGAGTTCAACCTGAGATCAGGATCCAAAGAACACTATATTCCTGATGGCCCTTTCTCCATGTGACTAAATACGCCATAATTCTTAGTGAAGAGGCTATTTGTTTTTCTGTTCAGTTTTGCTGATTTCTGTTGTACTTATGTGACTTATTGATTGCCGAATAACATCATGAATGATAAATAATGCTTTAGGAGATGAGCGCTTTTCTGTTTACTGTTTCATTTTAAACTCAAGTTGCATACAGTGCAGGCATTTTTATATTGGACAGATGGAGACACTGAAGATCACACACGACCACAAAGCTGGTTGTGGCTGAGCCAAGACTGGGACATGACTTATCTCGTGTCTAGTCTGAGGCATTTCCCACTGGAAAGCACCGCCCGTGCTGACCTGGCCTCGCTGGGCTCCCCCAGGGAGGGAGGCGCTGACCTGAGCTGCTGGATAAGGTCTTCGCCTTCCTTGATGACGTTGAGCGTGGCATCCAGAGTAGCGGTCTGCTGCTGCTGGAACTGCTTGATCAGTTCCTGGACCGCATCCACCGAGTCTGCACAGACATCCTCCAGCATCTCCTTCTGTAGGTCTTCCATCCATGTCCACAACTGTGGGGAGAGGGCAGAGACTCCACTCAGGGCAGACAGGAGAGGCCAGGGCTGGGGCAAGGGCAAGGGCAAGAAAGTCAGGCTGGGGCCACGCAACCTACCTTCACCCAGGCAGTGCAATGTCAGACTGTCCTCATCAGCATGCTTAGGGGTCGCTTTGTGCTTCTACATTGAGATTCATTACCCATCTTTGCTAAGTTTACCCCGTTAGTGTTGCATTCCCTAAGGATGGGAGGCACCCCTGGCTTAGCTTCCTGGTGGTTCAGGGAAACTGGTGGTCTTAGAGCAGGGAGATCACTCATGTTTGAAGAAACTGGGAAGCACAGGAGACTGTGATGAACAAATACTATTTTATCTTTCAGAGAGGAGGAAGGGAGGGCTCCACACACTTCCTCCAGACAGCTAGATGTCAATTCCTAGAAATTTATCACCATTTTGCTAACATGCAAAGAAGAATGTGATACTTAATAAAAACCAAATGAAGTCTAATTAAGGAAATATATGCTGCATTAAATCATTTTGTTCTTTATGGGATTGCTAGGTTGGTTAGAAATTTGAATGCTAAAAGAGGTATCTTATCTTAAATAAGTATATTTCCCCCATGATATTCAAGATGATGAAATGCAGTCAGAATATTACTAGTCAGACAAGTTTAAAATAGCTAGGTGTAACCCTGGCCGCTGAGCCTACACTCAGTGGTTAGAGCATAGGCCTGCACACTAAAGGGTCTCGTGTTCAATTCCCGGTCAAGGACATGTACCTGGGTTATAGGTTTGATCCCCAGACCCAGTTGGGGTGCATGTGGGAGGCAACCAATTGATGTGTCTCTCTCACATGGATGTTTTTTTCTGTCTTCCCCCACCCCTCCCACTCTCCCTCTCTCCTTCTCTTCTATTCTCAAAAAAAAAAAAAAAAAAAAAAAAAAAAAAAAAAAATCAATGGAAAAAGTATTTTCGGGTAAGGATTAAGGAAAAAAAAAAGCTTAGTACAGTGTTTTGAACAGAATAAGCACTGGGAATGATGTAGAGTTGAACTGAATTACTGAAAACTTTTATTGATAGCTCTTCCTCATACTGAAACTAGGTCGTCAATGGCCTGCCACAGTGCTCCACTTCTAACTACCCTTGCTGAGCATTTTCATAAATGACAGGAGGAAAGATGAGTCGGATGTCTGCTTAGAAACGGAAACTTCAGCTGGCCAGCAGGAAGATAAGCTCAGGGCTCTACCAGGGGAAGAAAACAGTAGAGAGAGAGAGAGAAACTGATAGACGGAGTCAACATATGTAGATTTTGGCTCCTGTTCTTCCCATAACTTCTGTTGCCTTTGAGTGAATTGCTATCCCCTTGCTCGCCATGGCTTCATGTGTAAAATAGGTTGGGGAAAGCATAAAATGAAGCTGTTAGCTACTTTCAGGTTCTAACCTTCTGTAAGTTAAAAACATGGATAAGGCCCTGGCCAGGTGGCTCCGTTGGTTGGAGCATTATCCCCTACACCAGTGGTCGGCAAACTCATTAGTCAACAGAGCCAAATATCAACAGTACAACTATTGAAATTTCTTTTGAGAGCCAAATTTTTTAAATGTAAGCTATATAGGTAGGTACATTGTTATTAACTTAATTAGAGTACCCCTAAGGCTTAGGAAGAGCCACACTCAAGGGGCCAAAGAGCCGCATGTGGCTCGCGAGCTGCAGTTTGCCGACCACGGCCCTACACCAAAAAAGGTTGCGGGTTCCATTTCTGGTCAGGGTGCATACCTAGGTTGCGGTTCGATCCCCGGTCAGGGTGCATATGGGTGGCAACTGATTGATGTTTCTCTCTCACATCGATATTTCTCTCTCTCTCTTCCCCCTTCCCCTCTCTGAAATCAATTAAAAAATAGATAAATATCCACTTTGAGAATATTTCATCTATTTGGTTTATATGGGAAATCATGGTATGGCCTTTGTAATAAAAGGCGAGAAAAGAAATAATAGACAAAAACAGTCTTCAGATTTTGGACAAGTTATTATTTGTTCCTTAGGAGAGAGAAGAAGATGAGTTAACAAGATTAATAAGCCCTGGAGGTAGAAAATAACGGTATAGAAAGAGTGTCCTTCCTAAACAGGTGAGAACCTCTCTGAGCCTCAGTTTCATAATCTGCAAAGTGGGAAAATAAGAACCTGCTCACTTCAAAGATTATTAGGCTTGAATGATATACTTATTATTAATGCTTTCAATAAACATATAGCCTTATTAATAAGCCTGTAGCATTGTGATGATAGCTATAACCAAATTATTATTAGTCAGAGTCCCCATCATTTAGCAGCTGGCAATTTGGTTGTAATTAGTTCAATTTATTTTCTTTACAAATAAGCTTTTTGTTATAAAAACACAAAACAAGTTTTTCAGAACATATAAGCTGGAATACATATTCCTATAAGTATGAATGTATTTATTTCAAATTTGTATGAAATCAGGCTTTCCGGATATTGGTCATTATAACTTAATGCTACTTCACACTTTCTGGTACGAAGGAAGGTCTACCTTCAAGAGAATAGCAGGCAGAGGGAAAGTTTGAACTACTCCTTCATTTTGGATTTGATAAAAGATCAACAATGGATTTGGTTCTTCAATATGCTGGGCTGAGCTGGGCCTCTGTTTTCTGTTTTTACTGCTTTGTCCTGAGATGTCTAAGGAAAGCCTAGAGCAGGGGTAGGGAACGTCCGGCCTGAGGGCTGTATAAGGCTCATGAAATCATTTGGTCTGGGCCTGCCAAAGCATTAGGGGTGAGCTAATTAATGTTTGACCAAGTATAGCAGGCTATTTTTTAAGTTGTAATTTTGTATGGCTCGTGAATGATGTTATAAATATCCAAATGGTCCTTGACAGAAAAAAGGTTCCCCACCCCTGGCCTAGAGACTGGAAAGTTCAGATATTTCTAAGGAGGGGTGGGGAGAAGGAAGGAAGGAAGGAAGGGAAGGGAAGGGAAGGAGGAAGGGAAGGGAAGGGAAGGGAAGGGAAGGGAAGGGAAGGGAAGGGAAGGGAAGGGAAGGGAAGGGAAGGGAAGGGAAGGGAAGGGAAGGAAAGGAAAGGAAAGGAAAGGAAAGGAGGGAGAGAAATGTGAAGAGGGATAAAAATTGTGGATGTGGAGCAGGTAATTTAAGAGGAGAAAACTAACTCGATGTCTCAATGCAGTGCAGGGACTGAGACTGAAGACTGGCCAGGGAAGTCTGGTACTCACTGATATAGGAGGGAGAGAGACAGGAACGAGGCAAAGAAGTATCTTGAGGATTTTATTTTATTTAAGGTAATTTTGTTGTCAGTACCATCCTTAAACTATATTAATGGCTTCATCGCTTGGAGGTCCTTTCCCCTCCTCAATAAAAACTTGACCATCTCTGGTGTAGGTCTAGGAAGAAAGTGTCATTCTGTTCTCAGGAAATCCACCATGACTCATGACACTCCTCCTGGTGATCATGCGCTAAATTGTAGAGAGAGTCAAAGACAAAAACTGCTAAAACAACAACAACAAGGTGTCAGAGTTACAAACAAAAAGACTAGGGACATCTGAGAACACCTACTGACCTCAAGTCCATATAATCAGAAAAAAGTGTCCTCCTTCTAAATATTCTTTGATGAATGAATTGGAACTGACTTTTCAGATTTCTGTTCCTATATTCCACTACATTATAAAGAAACTCTTGTCTCCCATAGTTAAAACCTTCTGCTGAGGAAAACCAGCTAAGAGATAAACAAGCAAGTACAAGACCAGTTGCTGCACAGCCCAGTGGTTAGCAGACTGGTGAGGAAAGGAAGGTCTACCTTCGAGAGAATAAAATGTCAAAATGGCTAGTGAGGGAAGATGATTTGATGCAGAGACAGGGAAGGAGACCAAGGCACTAGAGACAAAAGCTCCCTGACATCTTTCTCTATTTTCCCTTCTGTAAACAAAACAAAACAAATAAACAAAAAGCCCAGAGGGAAAGGAGTTCTCAAATAGAATTGATATTTACTGAGTATAATTCTTTTTTAAAAAAAATATATTTTATTGATTTTTTACAGAGAGGAAGGAAGAGGGATAGAGAGTTAGAAACATCGATGAGAGAGAAACATCGATCAGCTGCCTCCTGCACACCCCACACTGGGGATGTACCCGAAACCAAGGTACATGCCCTTGAACCAGAATCAAACCTGGGACCCCTCAGTCTGCAGGCTGACACTCTATCCACTGAGCCAAACCAGTTAGGGCCTGAGGATAATTCTTGATTCTGCCCTTGTTTGGCTAGTTCTCTGACCAGGGGAAAGCTACTTTACTTCAATTACTTCATATTTAAAATGAAGTGAGTGTGTGTATGTGTGTGGTTTTTCTAGATTGTCTCTAAGGTCTCACATGCTATGGCTTCCCTCCATAGCTGATATAAAGACAGAGGCAGTAATAGAGATGCCTCCTTAAACTGAAAAACTGCACTCACAGCTTTGACATCAAGACATCCAAAGTCCAGACAGTGTAACACCCGTTTGAGGGTAACTGTGTTAAGACACTATGACCAGACTTAAGTGAGTACCAGACTTCCCTGACAAGTTAAGACGCTAGTACAACCTGGAAAGTTTGAGTAGAAAGCTACTTGAAATTCCAGGGGACCATATGCACACAGTCACCCCCTGGTGGCAGCAAACTTAAATTGCAGACTCGGGTGTATAAAGTGGACAGAAATAAACATCATTGTCACTAAACTATGAGTAAGGGTCAACTGTCCATTACTTAGGCTGTAATTTTCTACGATCTGACTGTCCTGTAGGTCTCTTTCCCTTTATGTGTCCATATGACTTATCCCTGGAGAACTTGCATCGATTGCTTTGAAAAGAATCCAAATCAGAGAACCACTTCTATTAATAATTTACTAATTAGCAGGCAACCAGTGAGATCCTGTCAGAAGGATCCCCACTTTAAACCATCACAAGCTAATAATTGCCAGAACGAGGTAAAATTATGGAGTGAGGGAGGGAGCTTGATAGCAGC